GTTCTAGTTCAGTTCTAGTTCAGTTCTAGTTCAGTTCTAGTTCAGTTCTAGTTCAGTTCTAGTTCAGTTCTAGTTCAGTTCTAGTTCAGTTCTAGTTCAGTTCTAGTTCAGTTCTAGTTCAGTTCTAGTTCAGTTCTAGTTCAGTTCTAGTTCAGTTCTAGTTCAGTTCTAGTTCAGTTCTAGTTCAGTTCTAGTTTCAGTTCTAGTTCAGTTCTAGTTCAGTTCTAGTTCAGTTCTAGTTCAGTTCTAGTTCACTTCTAGTACAGTTCTAGTTCAGATTTAAAAGTCACATGTAGTCGAAAAAAAAGTAACATAATACTGATTTTAACCGTTTAATTCTAAAAAGAATAGAATTTAAAAAAAAGTGCCACTTATTTTTTTAAGAAAAAATAAGATTTTAGATGAAGAGTATTTTAGATTCGACATTACCGAATATATCACTCTAACTTGTTTATTTTAGTTTTATATATTTTTTTTTTTTGTTTAAAGTTGCTTCTTTAGAATATTGTTTTATTTAATTTTCTTCTGCTTCTTTTTTCATATCATGTTGTTGTTTTATTATTATTTTATTTCTTTATGTTGTCAAGTAATTAAATTAAATTTCTTTCTTCTTGTTTTTTTAACATATTTCTGAGTAATGTAAACAAACAATGCTGAAATTCTAAATAAAAATATTTATGATTAATAATTTTTATTAAGAAAAAAATCATAATAATTAGTTCAAAGAGTATAAAAAATTCCTTAGAAACAAAATTTTTCCAAAATAATAGAAAAGTACTTAACAAGTAAGAGTGTTATAATCGAGGCGTACATAGCCACAATTGAACCCAGAATATACATATGTATGTGTACTTAGAGGATTCACTATCAATATTTTGAGGTGTGAATTGCAAAATCAATATTGACATGCCAGTAATAAGGGCTGAGAAGGAGGTTAGTGTTTTAGTCTGATATACTGGAGGTTGTGGGTTCGATTCCCACCTGAAGAGGCCTATGTGTATTTCTTCGGATTTGTATAAACATACATTCTCCTTTCGTAAAGGCTAACTGAGGATCAATAAAATTCTTATGTTTTTACCTCAAGTTTTCATATTTTAAAAGTCTTCCTTATTTATAATTTCCTTGATAATGAAAATTAAGATGGAATTTCCCATTTTCACATTTACTTTATTCAGCGGAAAATTTTTGAGGAAAAAATTCTTTGCACCTGTTGAGTTATTTAAACATCTTTCATTTCGATACTAGTAACTCTCATACTTTAATGTTCAAACAGTTTCATATGCCGTCCGGCAAACATTATAAATTTTAACTGGTTTCTTTTAAGATTTTTTTTCTTTCGCAAAATTTTCCCAACTTTATTTTCAATTCTGCCTGTAAGGTATGTATGTATGTGTGGTACAAAAATGTGTACATACTGGAGTACATAAATAGTACTTACATTTTTATATTTTTCGACGTACATACTAACATTTGCGTTCACATTGGTTAAATATTTTAGGAAATATAGTTGGTCTTACATAACTTTTGTTACAGCAATCATAACATACATAGGTTAGGCTTTCTTTACTAAAGAAATGAAATTGTTGGGGTTTCTGCTTACTGCCTTATTTTGCTCAAATATTTCCCTATTCTGAACGTAACTTTAGTTTTATGTTGATAAATTTAAATTTATCAACTGTAACTAATGAAAATATTGTAACCATGTACTACATATTATTAACATATTTATATGTACATATATTTATATATATACATACATATGTATATATTCTATATATTTCTAATTTTTACTTATTCTTATTGTAGATTTTCATAAAAAAAGTTGCTTTAAAGTTGAGCAAACCTATGAAAATAATGTACGAAATTATAATATATAAAAAACACGCATAAAATTCTAAATATTTTTATAAACATATGTACATTAGGATGGCCCCAAAACAAAAGTTTTTGATATTTCTATCTAAAACGAAAGATTACTTCAATCCATGTTTCATTTTTGAGGTTTTATTGTTTTTGTGGGGAAAAAAAAATAAAACAAATTTTCATAATAAAGAATATCAGTGTTTTGAACCTCCTAATGTACATTGTTGACCATTGAGAGTCATTAAAAAGAATGGTCTTAGTAAATATTTTGAGTGTAAAAACAGTGTTACCATACAAATTTTGACCAAAATTATCGACACCCATTAATGATGAATCAAATATTTAACACAATCATAACCGGTTCCTATGAACTTCATGGAAAATAAGCAACGCTTAAGGACTTTGTATCCTAGATCTTAAAGATGACTAATACGACAAGGACTAGACCATTGAATAATCTATGCAATAGTCTACGGACCAACTAGTCTTCGGACTAGTGAACCGACTATTCTATTTAAAGGTCTTTATTAAAGGTACTGACTATTCTATGTACTAATCTTCCAACTAGTCTATGTAAAACTTAGCAACGTTTCGATTTCAAAGAGTACAATAGTACTGAATTTCCCCTACCTGAGGTCCTCTATTGACTGCCACGGCAACTGCCCAATCTTCAAATTCTTTATACCTGGGAGCCTATTTATGTATGTACAATAGCCATTGGACATAAACTTATAAGCCAGGTTTGGGGGGTAATGATTACATTTTCAATTACAATTACTTTTGAAGTAATTTGTATATTTACGACTGCTTGTAATTGAAGTTCTGCCAATTACTATTACTTGTTATTGTAATTGAAGAACTTCCCAGTACAATTAATTGTAATTACTTGTAATTATGAATTTCTTCCTTTATGATTACAAATAATCATAATTGGAAAACTTCAATTACAATTACCAATTATTTTAAGTGGTAAACTTCAATTATTAGGTGTCAGTTATTGGTCATTACATATTACAAGTACTGGGAGTTGCCTCATTGCTTAATGACAAGTAATTGTAATTGACCAGATAAGAGAATTATTTTGTGTAATCATTACTCCGCATCTATCTATCTATCTGCTAGCTATCTATCTATCTTCTATCTATCTATCTAGCGATCTCAGCCCGAGCGACTAGCTCTCAGCTATCTATAGCGATAATCATCTATCTATTACCTCGATTCTTCTATCTAATCTATCTATATCTATCTATCCTATCTATGTATTATCCTATCTATCTATCTATCTATCTATCTACTATCTATCCTATCTATCTATCTATCTATCTATCTATCTATCTATCTATCTATCTATCTATCTATCTATCTACCTATCTATCTATCTATCTATCTATCTATCTATCTATCTATCTATCTATCTATCTATCTATCTATCTATCTATCTATCTATCTATCTATCTATCTATCTATCTATCTATCTATCTATCTATCTATCTATCTATCTATCTATCTATCTATCTATCTATCTATCTATCTATCTATCTATCTATCTATCTATCTATCTATGTCAATGCATAAATGACCCGATAAGTAAACGATAGGGAATGGAAAGACCAGCAGCTCTAGCGGTTGCAACTAATTCATAAATACGTTTGTTTATCCACAACATTGAGGATCACTCTAACAAGATATATACAACTAGGACGAGACTTTAAAATATACAAGAGCGACTCTCTGTTAAAAGAAGATTACAAGGAGATGGAGATCATTCACTGTTGTCCTGATCTGGCAACCTGATTTTAGATTTTAAACCATTTATAAGTTCAAAGTAGTTTTGATACTGTGTATTTACGTGTTGTTGTTGTTGTAACTGGAACGTAATTAAAATATTACACTTGCTTCGTTGTTTTTTGTACATATATAGTTTTTTTATTTTTGTACTGCTGCTCTTCTTATACTTGAGTTATTTTAGTAGAACAGGAACGTAGAGTGAAACCAACAACAACAACAAGAACTACAAACATGCAAAAACTTTAAACAAGAGATGAAAACAACAAAACCACAACAAAAAAAAACGAAAGAATAATAATAAAATGAGCAGAAAACTTGAGAAAAACTTGTTCAGAAGAATTTTCTAATAAATCAATTAAAAATATAGAAAAAATAACAAGACAAAGGAATTTCTACTTCTTTTTGTTTAAGAAAGAAAAGCAGAACAACAAGCTAAAAAAAGAAAATTTATGAAAAATTTATAAACATTTTTTAAACATAATGTTTCAATTCTACTAACAAACAGTTTATGAGAGAGTGTGTGTGTGTATGTGAGTGTGTGAGGGAGGGAGTCATTAAACTTTAAAACAATCTGGCAATTTCCGTTGTTTATTTTCAAGTGTGAAGGTGTGAGTGTGTGTTTTAGCTTTAACTTCCTGTTTGAATTTTGAAAAAAGTTTACACTCACAAAAATTTGCGAGATCAAAAGTTGAGCTCTCTTTTTTTAAATTTTCTTAAATAAATATTTATACTCAAGACTGTTTTTATTATAGTTTATATTTAAGTTTAAGTTTTTTTTTATAAATAAAACTTGATTTATTGTTGTTTTGTTTTATAATTTTCTAAGATTAAGTTGAGATAAAGTGTGGAATTTCTTTTATTTATTTTTTTTCGTTTGAAGGCAATCCATAATCGTATTGAAATTATTTATTTTTTTGTCGTTATCTTTCAGTATTTTGTTGTAGTTGTTTTATATTTTTTTGTATAAAAAAATATTTTTTTTTTTTTTTTGGTTGTTGATTTTTTTATATTATTTTAGATTTTGCATTTATGAAGTGATTTGCCTTCTACCATCAACTTCATTTAAATATTTATTTTTTTCTTTAAATTTTTTATTAGTAGTAAAACCACTTTTTGCTGTTGTTGTTATATTTTATTTTTTATTATTGGAATTATTTCACAAATATAATCAACTGGTTATGATTTTTTTTCGACCACTTTTTTTAAACCGAATTTTTATTTTTATTTTTTTTTGTAAATTTTTTTCTTGTAACAATTGCTGCTTAATTTTCTCCTTAATAAATAATTTTCCTTTTCACTTTATCGTGTTAAATTCAAATTTACTACTACTACATACTACTCCTTTTTACCATTAACTTTCATGTTGTTGTACACTTATGTTTGACATGATTATCATTTTTATAATTTGTTAAATTTCTCAATTTTTTCTTAAAATTAAAAAAACAAAAAAAAAAAAAAACATTTGTATCTTTACGATCAAATATTCATTCATTCACTTTATTTGCATATACAACATACATATTTGTTAGGCTTATATTTTTTCTTCTTTTATTATTTTAAATAATTTTTACTTTTATATGTTCAATTTTTGTGTTTTATTTTTTATTTATACTTTTTCTTAAAAAAAAAAAACAAAATTAATAACGACCTGAAAGTTAGTTTCAGTTGATATTTTTTTCGAGCGCGTCTCACACGTTGTTGATTACGACTGACTTAAAATAACAGTTTGTATCAGTTGTTCAGCTTCACGTTGTGCTGCTTTGTTTTTTTATATATTGGGTGGAGGCAAAAGTTTTTGGTCAACTGAAATTTACTATATTCACATTGATATGAATTAATTATTATTTAATAAAATATTTTGGAAAATTTTTATCAAATAGCAAAAAATTCTTATTTTAGGGAGAAAATTTATTAAAAATTTTTTTAAAATGAAAAATTATCAAAAACGAGAACTTTTATCAAAATCCTCAAAAGAGAAATTAAATACAGTGGACGTCCAATAGTACGTACACTCTTTATTACGAATATCCAATAATACGAATGGCAAAATTGTTGCATTGTCTACTCTATAGTACGAATAAAGTCACAATTTTTCTGTTCGATAGTACGAATAACGCATTTTTTATGGGAATTTTGGTTTTATTTACGTATGAATGAAGTTTTTATTATGTTTTTATTTTATTATTTCGGTATCATTCACCTTAAGCTCAGTAATTTTGAAGTTTTTTTGTATTTATTACAAGTGTTTTGTATTTTTAAAAATCCTATACACACAATTTACTGCATGTATATTTACAAATCAACAATTATTTAGTGTTATTAATTTATTTTATTGGAATTTTGATGACCCAAGAGAAGAAATTAAATTGGATGATAACGCCAATGAGGAAAGTATTTTATTAGTTCCCGACAATAACTCTGCTGAGAACAATATTGAAGCCTCAAAAGCGCTGTTATTGAAAAGAATCATTTTACAATGTAATAAACATCGATGTTAAATGATGGATTTTTTAATAAGTAAAATGATATTTATATACATATGTATGTATGAACTGTTAATTTTGAAAGTAGTGTGACTCCACATTCAAAACAATGGGTTTAAGGATAACTATTCTAATTTTTAAGAGAAAATTATAAATTAGAGAATTGTGGTATATTCCATTCAAGTTTCTAATAAATGTTTTATGTAATCTGAACATTTTAATACATTTTAGAACACATATGTAAATTGTAAATTGTCTTTGGCACACATCTTTTTAAAAACATTAAAATTTAATACCTTCTACATATATCTCATTTCAACCATTGGACTCACGATACTTTCAAAATTAACAATTCATATACGTAAATATGTCCCTTTTATGCCTGTTTATGTACAAGAAATTTATTTAAAATAATACACATTTATTATATTTTGTTCCGTTATGTAATTTTTCATGAAAAATAAAACAAAAATAAATAAAATCCAATATTTTATGTGTATTATTTGAATTTAAACATACAAAATGTGTTGTTCAATAATACGAATTTTTCGGTATTACGAAAGGGCCTGACACTATATGATTCGTACTAGTGGACGTCCACTGTATAAAATTTCTCAATAATATTATAATAAAATAAAATCTTTAAAAAAATTTCTAAAAAAAATTGTAAAATTTTCTTAAAAAAATTAAATTTTTTTAAAATTTTCTTAAAAAAAAAAATTCAAAAATTTTCTTAAAAAATTAAATTTTTCAAAAATTTTCTTTAAAAAAGAATTAACAAAAAAAAAAACCAAATTTAAAAAAATTTTATAAAATTTTTCGAAAATTTTCTTAAAAAAATATATATTCTTTTTTAAATTTTCTTATAAAAAATTGTTTTCTTTAAAAAGAACATTTCTTTTAAATTTTCTAAAAAAATATTTTTTTTTCAAAATATCAAAAAAAAATATAAAATTTTTTAACATAACAAATTTTTGTTGGTCCAGTTTTCTATATAAAATTTTTCATTCCCGAGATCAGTTTTCTATAGAAAACTTTTCGTTAGATCGGTTTTCTATAGAAAACTTTTCGTTAGATCAGTTTTCTATGGAAAACTTTTCTTTAGATCAGTTTTCTATAGAAAACTTTTCGTTAGATCAGTTTTCTATAGAAAACTTTTCGTTAGATCAGTTTTCTATAGAAAATACTTTTCGTTAGATCAGTTTTCTATGGAATACTTTTCGTTAGATCAGTTTTCTATAGAAAACTTTTCGTTAGATCTGTTTTCTATAGAAAAATTTTAGTGAGATCGGTTTTCTATAGAAAACTTTTCTTAAGATCAGTTTTCTATAGACAACTTTTCGTTACATCAGTCTTCTATAGAATCTTCCCGTTATATCAGTCTCGTTAGATTAGTTTTCCATAAAAAACTTTTCGTTAGATTAGTTTTCTATAGAAAACTTTTTGTTAGATCAGTCTTTTATAGAAAACTTTTCGTTAGATCAGATTTCTATAAAAAAAACTTATCGTAAGGTCAGTTTTTTATAGAAAACTTTTCATCAGATCAGTTTAATATATACACTAGCTATACCCAGTGTGCTTCGCTACCCCCATCGTAATGGAATAAAATAAATATAATTATTGTAAATGTATATAAGTATATCTGCAATATCAAAAAGTCCCCTTTTAGAGAACTCTTTAACTATGATTTTATGATTCTAGTCTCAATATGTTCATATATACAATATTTTAGAAAGCTCAAAAAGTACCAGTTGAAGTACGAAAAAGTACCAGTACCAGTACCAAAAAGTACTATTTTATTTAATTTCATGTTCCTAACTTCAATATTATAGAAAATACGAAAAGTACCAGTTAAAGAACGAAAAAGTACCAGAAAATATTCGTGTTTAAATTTCCATTCATCCAAGTCTCAGATTGCTTAGTTTTATGTTTCTAGATTCAATATTATAGAAAACTCAAAAAGTACCAGTTGAAGAATGAAAAATTACCAAAGGGCCCCCTTTTATAGATTCTCATTAACTCCGGAATCCACATGCTTAATTTCATATTTCTAAGATCAATATTATAAAAAACACAAAAAGTACCTTTTGATGAACGAAAAAGTACCAAAAAGTTCCCATTTATAGGTTATCACTTAATCCGGGCTATACATGCTTAATTTCATGTTTCTAGGTTCAATATTATAAAAAATTCAAAAAGTACCAGTCGAAGTACGATAAAGTACCAAAAAGTCCCCTTTTATAGATTCTCATTTACTCCGGGTTCTACATACTTAATTTCATGTTTCTAGGTTAAATTTTATAGAAAACTCAAAAAGTACCAATCGAAGGACGAATGAGTACCAAAACGTCCCCTTTTATAGATTCTCATTTACTCCGGGCTCTACATGCTTAATTTCATGTTTCTAGGTTTAATTCTAAAGAAAACTGAAAAAATACCTTTGTAGAATGAAAAAGTACCGAAAAGTCCCTTTATTATTAATTTCATGTTTCGATTTCAATAGCATAGAAAACTCAAAAAGTACCAAAAAATATCACTTGGTACCGGTGTTCCAAATAACACCCCATTAGCATATTTAGTGTTTCTAGATCTAAACAATTTTATATAAATTGAATCATTGTGTTTGAATAAAATCAATTTTCCCGTTTTTATCCCTTTTGGTACTTTTGTCCTCTCCATTAACGAAATACAAATTCTGTTTCCGTTATTATGTATTCATATGTATAAGTTAATAAACCAAAAACAATGTTTTAAGAAAAAAATACCAAAAATAGCTACAATTTTCACCCCTTAAACGTCCGAATATCCAAAAAGTACTAAATTCATATTCTTATTTTTTCGTCAAGTTATGAAGGAGTCAACAATATTTTTCGAATGTTCTCTGGTTTAAAAGATACATGGAGTGCAAAAAAAGTACCAAAATACAGTTTTTATCCGTTTATTCGCTAAAGAGGCCGAATTTTAAAAAAGTACCAGACACCTGTAAGCTTATTTTTTAAATGAACGACGATAAGCTTTAAACTGTTTTTGTATCTTTTCTAGTTTAGAAGATATGAGGTTACCGAAAAATCCCGTCTTAGTGGATCTTTTAGGCTGTGCGATGATGAATCAGTCAGTCAGTCAGTGAGTCAGTAACGTTAGAATTTTATATATATAGATAAGATCAGTTTCGTTAGATTAGTTTTCTATAGAAATCTTTTAGTTAGATCAGTTTTCTATAAAGAACTTTTCGTTAGATCAGTTTTCTATAAAAAAAACTTTGCGTTAGATCAGTTTTCTATAGAAAATTCCAGTTACATTAGTTTTCTTAGATCAGTTTTTTATAGAACACTTGTCGTTAGCTCAGTTTTCTATAGAAACTTCTCGTTGTATCAGTTTTCTATAAAAAACTTTTCGTTAGATCAGTTTTCTATAAAAAACTGTTCGTAAGATCAATGTTCTATTAGACAAATTTCGTTAGATCAGTTTTGTATATAAAACTTTTTCGAAAACTTTTCGTTAAAGCTTTTCTATAGAAAACTTAGTCTAGAAAACTTTTCGTTTGATCAGTTTTCTATGGAAATCATTTCATTGGATCAGTTTTCTATACAAAACTTTTCTGTTCTTAACATGAATTTTCTATTGAATTTTTCTCATAAAATTTCATTGAACGAATTTTCTATATAAAGCTTCGTTAGAGCAGTTTTCTAAATAAAACTTTTCGTTGGGCCAGTTTGATATAGAAAACTTTTCTTTAGACCAGTTTTCAATAAAAAAAAAAGTTCTCTATAGAAAACTTTTCGTTAGACCAGTTCTCTAAAGAAAACTTTTCGTTAGACAAGTTTTCTATAGAAAACTTTTCGTTGGACCAGTTCTCTATAGAAAACTTTTCATTAAAGCTTTTCTAATAAAAACTTAGTCTAGAAAACTTTTCGTCTGATCAGTTTTCTATGGAAATCATTTCAT